ACAAACACCCTAATGGAAAATCATATACATCAACACTCAATTCCAGTTACCAGATTTTCAAAAGAGGAAGTGGTCATTTTGAAAGTCGTATCCGTGTCGCTACGATTACTTGTCCAAGAGCCTGGAGAGAGAAGAGAAAACACACCGTTTAGCCGCGACGAACAGATGGACTTACCAGCAACTACAAAACGGACATATTAGGACAGATCACAAGGTATATGAAGCGTCGAATACATTATCAGAATAAACCTAAATTGATTTGGTACAATTCTAGGAAATGCAAGGAGCACCGGAACGAAACATTTCTGGACGCTTAACGTAATGAGCAAGAACACAGATCGAATGGTTGAGTTGACCCAAACCTCCTAATAACGAATCGAATGGTTTATTCTGCTATTAAATGTCATCAGTGTAACCCGCGACCGACTTGCTAAGCATAGCTATGAATCCAAACGGTAATAACTGGATAGAAACGACTAGTACAAAAGACCTAGGTGGTCAATGTGCGATACAGTAAGGGGCCAGCAATACGCTAGTCACCTAGTCCAAAGTACGCGCAGTCTTCAAGGGATTTGTATTTCCTGGCACTGCAAGGCCTTTTAGTGTTGAGAAATGCATATATATTGGACGCCTGTGCGGAATAAGGCTCTGACTAGTGCCGAAGAAATTGCCCAGTCATGTCTTCGTTGGATAGGTTAGGTAATAATGGGAAAACGAGCTTCCGGCCTGCAATAAACTCGTTCAGTAAAGAGCAAGGCATTTATAAACCGTGGCAGTGCTCTCAAGTCTTCTTTATTCAATATCGGCTGGTTAATAACCGATTCCGTACTGTTGTGAAGATCTATCAGGTTATTCGAGCAACAACACTCACAACCAGAGATGGCTGAAATTTTTTTAGACATGCGCAGTCTGGTTTTAAGGAATCTTTTTCCCTTACTAGTACGAACAGACTTCCGGCCTCCGACAACGTGGCATACCAACCATGAGCCGTTCATTGTATGTCGGTCGAAATGCTCAGGTGCAAGAATGTGAAAGAACCATGAGTGAGAACTAAAATTGTAAGTATTTCAATTTTATAGCCGCTATTAGCCTTTCTGAGAAAAGGAGTCCAGCCAGAAGACAGGGATTCTTTTCGACAAAGACGCAAAAGTACTACGGTTAGGCTTGCAGTCGTCTTTTTAAGTCACAAACAAAAAGGGGTCACAAACGGTCAAGCTTCATTAAAAAGAACAAAAGGGCATTTTAAACTACGACTGCTAGATGTCACAGCGATGGTCTCCAGTGTAACAAGTGCAAACAGGTAACGCTATATTTAGTTTAGTATTTTTAAGTTGAGTGAATAAAAACTCAAAATTGGGCCAGTAGCCACACATTTTTATTATTCTTAACGCACAATGCATTTGAGTAGGCCATTGCCTTATTATTACCCAAGTCTACATCAAACACTAATCCTAACCCTAGCCTCAGAAAATCTTCAACTCGAAACCTAAAGCCTAATTCCAACCTCAATCGCAGCCCCAAACCTAAACCAATCTCGGCCGTAAGCCTGACTCTAAAATAAATCCAATCCTACGTTCACGATTCGTGTGATGTGAACGCTAAAATGCTACCCAATTTCATTGAACGATGCAGGGTTTGGGGTCGACAGTTACTTATCCGCAAGTAGCTGTCGATATGATAATTCATTGCTCTGGCACCTCGATTAGCGATGGACTGCGTGGGTCGCTGTGCAGGGTTAAAAGCCGGTGTTGGGAAAGCTCAATGGCTTAACGCATGCCACTGTTGCACACCACTTTAAACCTCAACATCACAATATTAACGGATCACAAATTCCACAGAGCTGCTTGAATGTACCGAGGCTACTTTGACGGAGATCTCGGGCGGAGGTGAGACGATTGCTTGTCAGCGAAGATTACCAGTGTTTCATTTGTCCCTATCAACGATAAGTTCGGCCGCTACACAATACAAAGACGCAAACGAAAGCTAAAGTTCGAGGTAAGATCTCTCCAACGACCTCCAATAAACATGTTGGCTCCTTGAGTTACCTAGATTTGCCTATAACCAATTTTTTGGTACCCTTAAATAAATGCTGCTCGCAAAGGAATATTTTGTAGCCTGAGTTTGACGCCAGCAATTAATTGCTCCAGTGAAATTTCATTAATGACGGATACATACCGATTCCTATACGTATGGGATAAATCCCTGCGAGTAAGTACACATAATTTGGACTTGTAAGATAATTAGTATTCATTCGCATATAAAAGCACACGCTAAGAATGAAATACGCATCGTACCGGACGTTCAGCGTAAACACGTGACAAAACGCGCGAGCTGAATGCAAACGGTGTTAAAAGACGCGCTAGGCGATGGTGAATCTTCAAACCTTGTGGGTCAAATTCGAAGTTCCACGCGAAGAACAGGAAACAGGAAGAATCGCCAAAACCAAAAACACAGAGGAGTTCTCAGAACAACTCGTTTCGGTTCAAAGCCG